ATAATCTGATTGGGGTTTTCTCCGGTGTCATGCAAGAGCAGAAGACCGACGATCCGCCGCATAGTTCCGCTTCAGAAGGGAGCATGGGACATCAAATGCAATACGCGCTGTTCCCGATATATTGACGTGGCGTATGCTGACGAAGATAGTGGTGCAGCTTTCGTGGCACTGGATTGGAAAAAAACCTTCGATTCACTTAACGTTGGGGCTCCGTTGGAAAATCTGCGGAAATTTGGAGTGCATCCACGTGTTCTTATTATCATTGGAAACATTTACGGGGGCAGGCGATTTTGCGTTGCAGATGGGCGACATAAATCTTCAGAAAGGCGTCAATTATCAGGTACATCCAAGGCTGCCCCCTCTCACCATTTCTTTTCATCATGATCACGACGATGGTTGTTCAGGATGCCGCGCGCCACGCAGAAGCTGGAATACAACAAGCTGTGGGAAAATAATCGTTGGCTATTTTGCTATATGCTGACGACACCTTACATCGGCCCAATGAAAGTTCCTTGAATTTTCATCACGACGCTGGCCTGCGGAAGTCGACGGAAGTAAAACGAGGCGGAAGACGGGGGAAGGCCGCTGGAAGGCTTGCCAATGTCAGCGGAATTCAAGGACGCCCCTTCCGAACCCCGTACCCCCCGTAGAAACCTAGCAATGTTGTCTTCCTCCGTTGGCCGGGCGGGATCCCGCCTGGCGTATTCCGCTTTAATATTATAAGTTTAGTTCAGGACGATCAAAATCCCACCCATTAAAAATGGGGTAGACCAAAATCCCGGGTCGTTCACGGATCCCACCAAGCTGGGATCGGCTCGAAGTAAGATGGGGCTCATACGTTGCAGTATTATTGCCGTGTTGGGGTCGTCTTGAGGTCATCTTGAGATCATATCCCGGTCATGTTTGGATCACGCAACCATCGCGTGGTCATTATGAGGCCACCCTGGGTGCGCTTGGACCCATCTTGTTGCCATCGGGCCATCTCGGCGTCACGCGTTGCTCATGTGTTGCGTCATCTGCGAGTCGGCCTGAGACGATCCAGAATCCATGGCGGGATCGCGATGGGGTGGCATCATCCTGGGTCCTCTGGACGTTATCGTCCGTGGCCTGAGGCATTCCTGGAAGCATGTTGTGGCCATGGGGCGTCTTGGGGTCGCGTGCGTGCGAACGCTGAGCACGCGCGCGCGACTTTTCATCTTGCCGACGGGTTTACATACATATTATTCCTCTTGCGAGTTTCCAAGGAAACTTTTGTTGGAGCCAAGTATTGGTGGGCCGCAATCAAATCCAATTGCAAACATTGTTGGAAGAAATTGCAAATGCCGGGGAAAGAAATGGTATGGAACTGCATTGGGATAAATTTCAGCTGGTGCCGGTCCCCTGCGAGATCAACCTCCTGACGCCCTCTAGGACGCCAACTCTTTCTAAATATGGCCTATCTAGGAGCTACGATTTCGACCACTGGCCAGGAAACGGGAGGATGGAGGATCAGGAGGCATGATAGGTAGGTAGACAGGAAGAGGATATGAAGGAGGCAGGAAAGGTTGGAGTCAGGATGGAAGGAGCAACGGGGGAAGTCACACACCGACCGGAGGAGGGGTGCAGCTCCCATTTGACACGTCCTCTGGAGGTTCCCCTCCTCCTGACGCTCCTTCTCCTGCCACTCCTGATTTCGCCGCATCCTCCTCTCCCTCATCTTCTTCTCCGCGTGTGTCTTTCCGAGAATCCTCGGCTCAATTGCCAGAGTGCCTGTGTTGTGGGTTATCCATATTTTGGGGTCCGTTGGGATGTCGTGTACGGGTTCGCGGGGGCGCTTTGGAGGCAATTTTGAAACCTCTTGGGCGCTGTTTTGAAGCCTCTTGGGGCGGTTTGGGGGGCTCTTGGCGGCCTCTTGGGGTCTTTGGGGCGCTCCTCGGAGCATCTTGGGGCGGAAAGCTCGGATTGTTGGTTCGGGCTGCCGCTCTTAGGCCACTTTTGGGGCCGTCTTTGGGCTCACTTGGGCTTTCTTGGGCGACTCTTGGGCCGTCTGGGGGCTTTCCTGGGCTGTCTTGGGGCGCTCATCGGAGCTTCTTGGGCTGTCTTGGGGCGGTCTTGGGGACTCCATGGGCCGTCTTCAACGCCGTGAAGGCAGGAGAGCCGTATATGCCAAACACGTATGTCCTCCCGAGGAGGCAACCTTGGCGTGCTGGGCGCCTCCTGGGAGTGCTCTTGGAGCCCTCTCGGTGCGTTTTGGGCGGCCTCTTGGCACGTCTTGGGGCCATCTTGGGCGTCTTGGAGCGGTTCTTCCACGATTCGGATCCCTCTTGGGCCATCGCGGTGGCTATTGGGCCCCTCCTGGCACGTCTTGGAGGGGTCCAAATGCCCTGCCACTGGCATGGAGGTCCAGCGTCTGCCGTGAAGGCCCCCAGCCGTGGACCCTGGGTATATGTGAATCTGTGTATGTGTGTATGTGTATGTGTGTATATATATATAGACAGATAGATACGCGCGTGGATATCCCTAATGATCAAATCTGCTATCTCTCAACGATGCCCTCTGTTATCTGATTGAACGTGGCAGCGCTGGGAACTCCAGACTGGGAAAAAAAAACCCTGGAACCTGGGCGCCCACCAAAATCGCCCCAAAACTCCAATTCGGGAGTCCAAGAACCGGGGACCGGGAACCCGGTCGCCTACCGAAATCGGCGCCATACCTCCTTCTCTTTCAATGCCCGTCAGGACCTCTTCAGTGCAAGACCTGATCGGGGAACCATGCCCGTGAAGGTCAGCCCGAGTCCCTTGTCGTGGGCTCCTCGCGGGGCCTCCTTGAAGCTACTGGGCCTTGGAGCCCTTGCTGGGAGATCTTGGAGGCCGCGGTATACTGCGCCCCACGGAGGTTCCGGGACTGCTCGGGACGGCCAGGTTCCCGCGGCGGCGCCGACGTGGGGTCGGGGCCGCCGAGGGAACGGCCCAAGAAGCCGCGCGCCACGCCGAAGGCCTCGCCAGCGAAGCGTTCGGCGTTTCACATGGGTTTTTGAGGCCCCCTGGCCGTGCCTCTGGCGGTCCTGGGGCCCCTGTGGCCGCCAAGCCCCGGAACAGCGACGCGGTCCCGGTAGGCCCTCCCTGGCGCCTCTGGCCGCAGCCGAGAATTCCACGAGTAAAAAGACACCGCGCGCGACAGCATCAGCGCCAGGCGTCGCCGTGCGTGCGCGTCGTGGGTGGGCTGGCCCGGGCGAGCGCGCTGAGGTGCGCGAGCCCCCGTGAGGCGCACGGGGCCTCGCACGGTGTCGTGGGCCACGCCAGGGCTGCACAACCTAAACGGTGTTTTTTCGCTTTCGTTCTGTCTTCGTTTCCCCTCGCTTTCGTCTCGAATCCGCCCTTACCGCAGATCGAAGTCGAAACGAGAGCGGCCCACGAAATCGCCAAGAACACCGTTTAGCTCCAGCCCTGGGCCACGCCAACGGCGTGATGGGGCGCCACCGTCTCGGCGTGACAGTTTCAAGCGCCTTGAATCTCATCAGAATCGACAAGCGGGGCAGAGACCAACAAACATGTCACAATCACATCTCATGTCCAGCATGCGGGGGCACCTCCGAATTTTCAGGTCGACTCGCGTAACTATTTTCAGACCATGCAAGTCGTAATATTCTGGCGCGCTTCCTCCATTCTGCCTGATAGGGAAGGTCTGCTCAGGTCGCCCTGCAAACATTCATGTGCAAATTGTTTTCTCATCGGAAGCCGCAACCTCAACCAGGTAAATTCTAGAAAGGCTCCACCGCTACCGCCACCGAAGTGGCCGAGCTGGAGTCGCGAAACCTTCTGTATGAGTAGATCCGACGTGCGGGAGTCGAAAGATGCGGGAGCGCAGGAACATACATACATTACTCCAGGGCGTGAGCCCCAGGCAGCAAGTTCCTGCACTCCCGACGTGCCAATTCTCTGGTGCAAGCCGCCGCATAGCACCACCCGCGGGGCGCCTACAACAGGAATACAAACAAGCAACACGAACCTGAACTCGCCGAGCTCCGTGCGGAGCTCCCAGAGTTTGTGCTTCTGCCGCTTTTCTTCCTCGACCCCTCGAAACGCCAATCGCGACCACGGCCGACCACGGCCACAGTAGGCAGCATGAGACGTCAGCCGCAGAGCACCACGCTCGAGCTGCTGGGCACGGCCGCCAAGGCACCACCAAGACACCAGCCAGAGGGGCACCAACGGGCATAGCGACCACCGGGCACCACAGAGCATCAGCCAATGGAAGCTCGCGGGGTACCAACCATGGAGCACCGATCGCGAGCAACCGACCGCGGCAGCCAAGGCATCGGGTACCAGGCGCATTGCAACGACCATAGGCACCGACAGCCGTCGGCCGACCGCACCACCAACGGAGGGCACCAACCAGGGGGCAAGGGCGCGCTAAAAGCCGACTGCGAAATACACAGGGCCAGCTCCTCAGATGCAGAGTAGGAGCCCCTGAGTGCAAGCACTTGGGGGCTCTTGAGCCGAGCCTCGTAGCCCCCTAAGACGGGAGGATGGACCCCCAGTGTAACCCCAAGACGAGGCCCAGAGGCTATTTTCCCTTGTGTGGGACAATGCCCTGAAGGGCCGCTGTGCTCAAAATGGGCGTGATCAAACACACACAATTCAATGTCTCTCCAACCGAATCCCCCGCCCTGTTGAGCCGTTCCTTCCCTAGTGGGGCATCAATACAATGACAATCTTGTTTCTGCGCCCTGCGCACCGGTCGCTTCATTGTTGCACACATTCACTTATCTATACTTATCTTCGTGAAGCTCGGCAGAAACGTAACCATCACAGAAAACTCACACATGGACGGGGTTTCGGCGTCCGACGGAGCCAACACATAGTGCCACAAAAAAAGAATCTACACTCCACGCCCTGAGGTTTCCCAGGGACCACCTTCTCGTCACGAAGAGGTTTTGATGGTTCTGGGGCACAGGAAGAGCCCCAGCAGGCCGAAACAGGCAAAGAGCTGCAGGACTTCTTCCCTTCAATACCTTTTTTCCTGCTGAGCGCTAAGCCTCGGCGCTCGCCAAGCCAATATCCTCTGCCGCCGACTTGGACCACCAATTCTCCTTCCGACTGGAGAAGCCGAAGCTCGCGACCCCGGCCAGAGCGATGAGCGCACCTTCGCGGAGCTGCTCGGATGGGCTCTCATCATCGTCGTCGTCGTAAGGTATTCAAGCATTCTTCTAGGGATGTCAGAATCTGCCATCATGTTACTGTGCCGAAGCGCGGTGGCAATCGCCTTGGAAGAGAGACAGGACCATGCAACTAAGGAGGATCTTATAAGATGGGGGCAAAGGAGGACCCAGGTCGAGATGCGGCGGCAAGCGGGTGGAAACAAGACCTCAACTGGGAAAACACGGGGACTGAAGAGAATCACTCATGCCTCTAGCGTGATTCTTCTCGCCCTGCTCGGGTCTTATAGCATGGAGCACTGCCTCGTTGGAGGAAACAATTACCTGCGACGACGATCCTGCGACCCTTGGGCGCGACGCTGACCAACATCCCGAGCCTCATGTTTTGATTGTTTGAAGAGTGGGCGTCAATCACCAAAACAAATCCGACCCGAAACCGGGGAAACCAAACGGTACCAGTATCGGTACATCCCAAACCTTGCCGTCGCTCGGACGTCCATTTCCCGTGCATTTTTCGGTTTCGTGTGTTTGTGTGTGTGTGTGTGTGTTTTGCTCGAATGGTCCTCGATGGTCCTCGATGGTTCTCGCCGAGAAGAAAAAAAACACGTCCGAGCGGCGCCAGGAGACCTCTCCCGGGGTGGGTTCTCACCAGTTCTTCGAGGCGAACCCAGCCGCTGCGACGAGGGCATCCCAGGAGGCCCACAGGTGCGAGCACAAGGGAGGGGTAGCGGCATCGATATCGGTTCCCTTCTCTGAGAAGCAACCTGCCGATCGAGAGAAGGCACGCAGTGGGAGCGCGTGCGACTCAAGCGAGCGCTGGCCGCCAGGGAGAGGCTGGCAGAAGCGCGCAGCAGGGCGGCAGTGCCGGTGCACGCCACGGGCGCGGATGCACGTCGCAGAAAAGGCGCGGCCTGAGCACGCCGCGGGCCTCTTCTGCGCGACATCTTGTGCGCCACAGGGGCGCGTTCACACACACACACACATACGCACACGGACGGACTAGGGGAATCGTACGAGTCTTACAGGATTGGGCCGCTGGTTGGCTGGAGGACCTCGACGTGAGGATCCATCTGTCGGGGGTTTGGGCAAATTGTGTGGTCCGCAGGTTGAGCAGATCAATCCGTCGAGGGTTTGGGCAAGTTGTGCGTCGAGAGCGTGCGTTCAACCACGCGCGGGCTCAACACTCGCCGCCATGAGTCAAACGGGCCCTGAGGGAAACGGGCCACGGGCCGTTGGGAAGCCCCGCCAAACCTCCCCACCTCCCGTTCAGAACGCTCCCGTGGCGCCAGCCTGAGGCCACGAAGAGCAGCGCGCAGTCCAGGACGTGGCGCAGCTCCCTCCGCCCGCGGGCAGGCCTGCTGCCCCTGCCGAGCAGAGAGGCGCCCGCTGCGTCCTCTGGGAACTGCGAAGACATGCTTGAGGCTTCCAACGGGACGCCGGAGGAGGAGGAGGAGGAGGAGGAGGAGGAGGAGGAGGAGGAGGAGGAGGAGGAGCAGGAGTCGGAGGAGGAGGAGTCGGAGGAGGAGGAGGAGGAGGAGGATGAGGAGGAGGAGGAGGAGGAGAAGAAGGAGGATGAAGAAGGAGGAGGATGAGGAGGAAGAGGAGGAGGAGGAGGAGGAGGAGGAGGAGGAGGAGGAGGAGGAGGACGTACTCGGGGGTGGACAAGACCCCCTTTAGCAACGCGTGGTTCAGTGAAGACGACCTCGGGCCCAAACCTGGCGGGCGCAAGCCCGGGAAAGAACGGCCGCGGCGACCTCTCAAGCACCGGAAACGGACAATTCACTGATCGACGCGTCAAGGTGGGGGTTCTGTCCCCCCCGAGGCACCATGCGCCACGCGCCTCCCTTGGAGGTGCCCGTGCGAACCGAACGCGCAGTACACACGTATTGCGATATATTTCTACGCAGGAGGAGGAGGAGGAGGAGGAGGAGGAGGAGGAGGAGGAGGAGGAGGAGGAGAAGGCGCCCGCGACCGAGCATGTGCTACAGGACTTCTGAGCGCTCGAGTCGCCCCTGGTGGGGCCGACGCGCACATCTCAACTACACTCGTGTGTGGGTGATGCCTATCCAACGCGCGAGCCCGCCTTCCGGGCCCGCGCTCATCCGGAACCGATAGTTTTCGGGTTCTCGTCGTGCCCGCCAGGGCCGACGCACCGTGCACGGAAGCCAACATCGAGCCACGCTTGCACATCGATCGCCACCATTGCCATCACCATACACCGCACGCGCGGCACGATTGCCCGCGCGCCTGGGCAGCCCCCTCGGACCCCCCCCTCTGTACAGTGGGGGCCAGCCCACAAGAAACCTTCCACAAGAAACCCAACCCTGAGACCCCAGGACGTCCGTGGATTTTGGTGTGGGAGCGCCACGACTTCCTTTCGACAACCATCGAAACTCAAGCAACCCGGGGCACCCTGGAGGCAAGCAGGGTGTTCCTTGGCATGGGTCTCCACTGCAATTGAGGGGCAACGATAGGGGGGAACGGCATAGGGGGGAATGCATCGACCTGGAATCGGCGATACATCGCCGATAGATCGGCGATAGGCCTCCGATAGTGAATCCGCACCTTGCTGGGCAGGTTGGGACTATCGGGCCCCTATCGGCGATCCATGGGCGATTGGGGGTCGATGCATCCCCCCCTATGCTTTTCCCCCCCTGTCGTTGCCCCTGAGAGAAGCCCCGCGTAAGACGGCGCGCCGCAGCAACATGGAACGGGAAGGGACAAAGGGATCTTGGCCGGCGGCGGTGCGAGACCAGGGCTCTGTCCATTCGCCTTAAGTCGGGCCTGTCCCCCTACAGGCCGATTTTGGACGAAAAATTGAAAAATATCTGAAACATGCCCAAAACATGCCCCCAAATGGTCAAAACATAGTCCCCAGACTGTTGAATATTCCCCCTGTAGATGGACAGGCCCGACTTACCATTGGTCAGGCCTCCAACTCTCGCCCAGTATACCAGTGCACGTGAATTACCCCATCCAGTGCGCTGGCTCGACCTTTGTCTTTGTCTACAGTATGTCCGAAGCCACCCAAATCCAGATGTGCTGGAGGGCTCACCATGCTCGAGCGCCTGATGGACGGCAAAGGCGATAGCCCGTTCTACGGGGAAGACACCCGCGGAGATGCAGCTGTCTTGTCTTCACCGCGCATGCAGGTTGTAACATCCGGTGGGAATAAGACCTTGGCAGGCCGAAGTGCACGTCGCCCGCCTTCCCCAGACGGATCTCTGCACACCGCTTCGCTCCGCATGGCGGACCAATGGCGCTCTTTGCGGTTGTGACCATGAGGGGATCGTGAAGAACGAAGAGGATCTCGTCATTCTGATGCCAAGCATGGCCAACATTCAGACTGCGAGCGCAGTAACGATCAATAATATGGCTACGGCGTCGTTTAACTGATCACGTGGACACTTCTCATGCAGTAATCCAACCTTCACGTGGCTTAGGCCACCTACTACGCATTGAAAATCCTATCTCCGATCCCCTCCACCCGTGGCCAGGCCAGCCCTAGCTCCAGCTACTGCCTGTGCTTCTGCAAACCCTGCTGCCCCCAGACATGCAATACTTTTTAACCTGCTTCGCTGAGGGAGTCAGCGAGAGAGAGAGAGAGATAAAGATAGAAATAGGGAGAGAGATAGAGAGAAAGAGAGAACAAGAGAGAGAGAGAGAAGGACAGAGAGAAAGAGATAGAGAGAGAACGACATGAACCCAGCGCGACTCCAATTTGAGAACGCTTCCTAAGCGGCATTGTTTGGCATTGTGTGGAATTGTTTGGCATTGCATTGCTTTGCGTTGCTTGGGGTGGCTTGGCTTTGCTTGGCATTGCTTTGCTCTGCTGTTTTTACATTGCTTTGCTTGGCATGAGTAATAGTGCTCGGTATGAACTTGCATTGCTTGGTATTGCTCTACATTGCGTCGCAGTGCTTGTCATTGTTTTTTCGTTGCTCGGGATTGCTTGGTATGTCTTTGCGTTGATCGGCATTACTTGGCATGTGTTTGCATTGCTCGGCATTGCTTGGCCTCGCTTTGTACTGCATGGTATTGATTCTCGTTGCTTCAAAACCAGGAAAACAACGCGACGAAGAAACCGAGAAATTCAGGGAACCCGCGGAACCCGAGGAAGGGCAGCCCTTCAAAAAGCAGTGGGGGGACCGGACCAGTGAACCTGGGGACCCCCAGCAATACGAGCCCGAAGAACCTGGGTGAAGCCCTGTAGGGAAACGAAACTGAAGAACCCTGGGAAGAACCCCCTTGCAAGAAGACAACAACCGAAGAATTCCGCGAAATCCTGGCGCGATCGGGTCCAGCGCCCACCGGCTTCCTCACACACAAAAGAGAACCCCTAAGGCAAAACTAAGTTAGGGAAAGAGAGAGAGAGAGAGAGAGAGAGAATCCGCTGGCCCCCTTGTGGGGCCACCAGGCTGCGAGGCACGTGATTCGCAGTTTCCTGTACCAGTCGTAGGTCGTAGTTTCCAGTGTTACAGTTCTGCTTCTTGCTGGTTACTGTAACTAGTTGACTTCTTGCTGGTTATTGTAACTAGTTGATTGACCGCGCGAGGGGGGGGGGAGGCCCAAACAGGATTTTTAGCCTCACCTGGGCGCGTTGTCTGAATTGCTGGGGGGGCTCGAAATCGACACCCCTCACGCAGATCCGCGGGGTCAGGGTCCAAAAACACATGGGATTTGCCACATTTCTGAAATTCGGTGCCACCCCTCACGCAGATCCGCGGGGTCAGGGTCCAAAAACACATGGGATTTGCCACATTTCTGAAATTCGGTGCCACCCCTCACGCAGATCCGCGGGGTCAGGGTCCAAAAACACAGGGATTTGCCACATTTCTGAAATTCGGTGCCACCCCTCACGCAGATCCGCGGGGTCAGGGTCCAAAAACACATGGGATTTGCCACATTTCTGAAATTCGGTGCCACCCCTCACGCAGATCCGCGGGGTCAGGGTCCAAAAACACATGGGATTTGCCACATTTCTGAAATTCGGTGCCACCCCTCACGCAGATCCGCGGGGTCAGGGTCCAAAAACACAGGGGATTTGCCACATTTCTGAAATTCGGTGCCACCCCTCACGCAGATCCGCGGGGTCAGGGTCCAAAAACACAGGGGATTTGCCACATTTCTGAAATTCGGTGCCACCCCTCACGCACATCCATCGCAAGGCGTGGTAACCCAAACTGCGAGTACTCCCTCGGCCCTTTAATCCCAAGGTGTGGTAACCAAGCTCGTAAACCATACACGTCTTACCAATCGCCCTGTGTGGTAACCCCTCTTGTGATCAATTGGTTTTGCCGATTGCGAATCGGCCTCGCATGAAGTTCCGATACTGCTGCACGACAGCGCCAAAGCCTCATGACTTAGCTCTTCCATGGCCCATTCTCCGAGAGAGGGGGCCGGCGGCAGGGGGCGAAGCCCTTACGGATAACAACAAAAGACAGAGACACAGAGAAACGGAAAGCACGCTTCTCTGGAAAAAGATCGTGGGAAGCACTGCAGAGCACGACAAAACACAAAAAACACTAGAAACCCCTCTGGCGCCAGATGGTCCAAACCAAGCTGGACGGGCTTGCTCTCGATAACTGCATCCATCCTTTTTCTACCAATCCTTCGATTCAACTTCCACTCCGGTCCCTCCCGTGCCACCAGGCTGCCGCCCCCTGTGGCAATTCAGGCCTGCTCTGAAGCATGCGCGTTTCTCCTGGCGCAACAAAGGCGAAATCATCGTATGCAGGACCTTACCACTCCGTCGCATACCCTCACCCGCTCAACGATGCACGCAGACGCTCTCCCCACCAACGTGGGGCGTTATGCAATCTCTCCCTCCCAGCCTGGCGACGGTCCTTGTCAGCTCGCTTCTTCAGTACAGCGTGGTGTGTGATGGGAGCCGCCAGTGCGGCTCTGCTGATGGACGTCATCACGGCAGACCTGCTATATGGACGAATGCTTGTGTCAATGCTGCTGTGCGATTTGCCCGATATGCTTTAGCGAGAGAACCAGAAACGCACGCTGCGACGTATTATCACTCCCCGTCCAAACTCAATGGTCATGTGCTACACTCCTCAACTTTGAACTGATGCGTCACGACTTTGAACTTTGCACTTCCCTCCTGGCAAACAGACGAACCATTGCATCTGCCACGATCGGAATACTAGTACCGACTCGCATGAACTGGTGTCACAAAGCGAATGCACGATACGCTTCTGTTCTGGTGTTGATGTTGGGATGGGCGGTGTCGGAACAATGGCCAATCCAATTCCGAGACTCCAATCATCGATCTGCGAACCATAACCTCGTATTTAATGGTCGCGCGCAAACTGCGAAAGCGAATCCGATCCCGCTAACCCAGCGTAGCGGCATGTGAATCACCTTCAGCGGCTGAACGTATATGTGACGAATAGAGCGTGTGGGTTGGGTTTGTCATCTCATCCACGAGTCCAACCCAAGTGGTATTCGTGTCATGCGTGCCAAGTCGTGCCCAGATTTCCGATGTGTTGACGCTCGCCAAAGAATGAATCAAACTAGCGCAAGTAATTACATCGCCGTGACGAAAATGTTCACCTTTCTGGGTTCACAATGACTGCGATTCGGCGGAGTACGCGGGGTAGGCGGAGTAGTATTGACTCCGTGTGAGAGTGCATCCAGTGCGATGAATTTGAAGTTTTGGTGCGGCGTAATTTCTGGCCTCCCGTGGAACTAACAAAATGGAGCCCCAACAAACACCGAAACTACTCCGCTAAACTTAGCGAGCCGTAGAATCCGCCAGGGAACTCGAGCGGGATCGAGGACCCCTCGACCATGGAAAGACGATGCTGCCTTTGCCACGGCGGTGTATACCTCGTGCCGCTGCGGGCGGCGGGGCGGGCATCCCCGAGGTCTTGTGGTGGCGCGGCGTCGGACGCCGCGCGGTCTCGCTGTGGATGAGGAAGATGAGGCGGTGACGTCGGGCACGTGGGAGAGCACATATCAAGGGGCCCTGGGACACACAAATCAATACACACAAATAAAAATATTCACCATATTTTTCCATATTTGCTGGCTTTTTGTCTTCCCCCCCACTTCCCATATTTTCCAATATTTGCCTTGGCATCGACGATTAATAGTGTCTGTGTGTTTCTTCCCCTCCTGAAAATAACAGCCAACACCTTCGGAACTCCGCGCGGATTTTCTGGACCGGCGCTGGAGCCCCCCTGCGGCGCCGGAGGCGCCGCAGGGGGGCTCCAGCGCCGATCCAAGAGATCCGCGCTGAGCTTCGAAAATTCATGCGTATGCAATTCTGTCACGAAGCCGCTGTCACGAGTCCGCGCAGCATTCAGACCGCCCGAACCAGCTGAGTGTATCTTGCGGCCCAACGTGTCAAGCAAACATGGCAGCATCGGCGTGCCCCTTTGGAGGTCACCCAACCACAATCGACTACATCGGGCGAACAAATCGGGCCTGCAACCAACACATAATTACGTCGCGGATGCAATTGACACGCTAGGGAACCGCGAAGCAGAACACTGCGAACCAGCGCCGCGGTCACTCTGAAGCGAATAGGATGGGCATACCTGGGAGGCAATTCGCATCTACGCGGTGCGCAAATACACTGTCTTGGTGTCCAGCACAGGCTGGTTCCACCAGCGGACGCGGCATCCCGATCAGAATATGCAGACATCTGCGCAACTATGCTGGGGACACAGGCCTGCAAAAGAGCCCCTGAAGGAGTGTGACGTTCAATAGGGGGAGAGGGACTCCTTAATGGCACAAAGCTGTTGGAGGCTTCCGGTGAATCGGGAACTGCGGCGGGCCCCTGTAGATTCGCTGCGCAAACTCAAATCTACCCTGCAATCTGGCGGCCAGATGGGAAAGGGGCAATGCGCACCCCAGTATTCTGTCAGTGCAGTTCTTTTAACTCGGACCGCGCGGCAGTCCAACTGCGGGTGCAGTCCCAGGGCCCTAGGACTAGGGCCAAAACGGCGGCGGGCAGCGTGCACGCCACAAACATGAAAAGCATGTGCATCATGTGTACAAGGCGGCACGGGCGGCAGAGGGGCAGGGGAGTGCACTCTTCGCACTGGGTGAGAACAATGCTGCCCCGATGCCGCTCCCTACAAGCGTGAAGCGCTGCACGCAGTCATCGCCTATACCGACCCACGGGCCGAAACACCTCAAGCAAAGTGCGGCCTGAGGCTCAAAATATAAAGTATGAAATATGAATGTCTAGACTCACTAGTCCAGACTGTCGTCTCAATGTACGTGCGCACATCACCGTAGCCCTCACTAGGTCCATGCAGCGGCTGCAACAGGACCTCACGGGCTCGCAGGCCCCGGAACGGCGGCCCGACGCTGGGCCTTCCGCTCCTTGGCTCTCTCACGCTGTCCGCGGCGCAGCCGCAGACGGTGTGCCTCCTCATCCTCCTGTTCAGCAGTAGGCGCCATGCTGAACAGTCCGTGGCGGAGGAACTGCGATAGCACCTCGTTAGGCTGCACGGCCTTTGTCAGCACGTCCGCCAGCATGTGGCTATTGGGCAGCCACTTGAACTTGATGGCCTCCTGCTCGATCAAATCCTTGGCCACCAACAAGTCGATGAGGGTCTGCCGAGACACCGGCATCGAGCCGATCTTGGACGTGTGGTCGTAGTGCGACTTCGCATCCGTCACCAGCGCCCCCGGAACCTTCAGCGCCAGCCTCCAGTCCCCTTGCAAGGGCGGCTCCCCGTGCAAGACCGCCTCAATCAGCAGCCTAAGGTAGAGCTGCCGATCCAAAGCCACGGACATAGCCGCAGACTCTGCGACCATCGTAGATCCAACAATTCGTGTAATAGTACTACTCTGGAACTCCACTAGACAACATACAGCTAGCTCCTTCAACACTCGGGTATCCGTAATCATACTCATGAGCCCCATCTGGCTCTTACAGCCGGGTTCCTTCGCAAACGAAGCGTCCATAAGCGTGAGCACCTGCAAGCGCTCGATGTCCACGCGGCGGGTCCGGAGAGTCGCAAGACCTCTCTTGTCGTAGTCCTGAAGCCGGTCGATGATGTCGTTGAGCACTCGCAGGTGCAGTAACCTCCGACCTTTCGGATCCTTCTGTGCGAGCGCCGACGCACAGTACGCGAGTTGTGGCACCGCGCGTGCGACAGGCCAGCGCACCTTCTGGAGCAAGCTCCAGAAGTCGTGGTGCTCTTCGGGAGTCATCTCCCGCTCCTCGTCGCCCCCCCTTGCAAGGGGGTGCTTTGTCAGCTTGCCGATGTACGCGTGCATGCTGATCTCGATGTGATCGGGGTGGCGCCACCACTCCTCACCGAGATAGGCGACTGCCTCCTTGTCATTGCCCTCCTTCCAGTGCTTGATGTTTAAACGCCTGTTGATATTCGCCTTCACCTCCTGGTACTGGGGGTCGCGCGGGTCCCCAAACAGCATGCCGTCGTCGACGTGCAAGGTCAACATAGCAATCAACCTGCCGGTCGCCCGATAAACGAAGACAGCCCGAGCGCAGCGCAGCTCCACAAAGCCGACCTCGTCCGTCAGCACCTGGCGGCCTCGGAGATACCACAACCGAGGCGCCTCCGTCAAACCGTGCGCCCCTTTCAGCAGACGAAGCAACGCATAAAGCCGCGCAGCCGGCCATCCCGCGCCGTCGACGGCCGGAAGTCCGTCCTTAGGAGCCCTCGCGTACCCGCTCCAGCTTCAGCCCCGACAGGAACGCAGTCGCTACGTCGAAGCAGTCGAATGTCCAATCCATCGCCATTGTGACAGACGGACACACCAGCACGGCCAAAGGGGAAGTAGTAGGCGAATCCGTCCTGAATAGACCAAGCTGCGGGTCGAGGTGGCCAGGGATGATCAAGCGCGACTTCGCCTCCAACTCCGGCCCTCGCCCCCGGTTTGTGCGAACCGAACGCATGGGAACCGAGATGATCTTATCCTTTGGAATGCTCTTCTCCTCCTCTTCGGTGACCAGCTCGACCGTGTTGTTGGCGATCCATTGCCGCCACTTGGCGGCGTCGGCCTCGTCGAACTTAGCCTTCTCGTGCTGGTCGAAGTGACGTGGGTCTAGCTCCTTCGCGTTCTGCTTCATCACGAGTGCGAACACGTCGTGCTCGTACCGCGCCTCCTGCAGCCATGCGTCATACACAGATGACACGTTGATCCACTCCTCGTAAGTCATCGGCTGCAGTACAAGACCCTCCGGAGTGTCCAAATAGTACACCCCCTGTGCCTGAGCGTCCGGCTTGTCGTGGTAGAAGAGCGTGAGACCAACCCAGCTGTCCTCCATGCGCTCGTTGGTACGGCTCGCGCCGTCGTCCTTGTAGGCGCGCTGGCCCGTGGCGGAGAGCATCACCGACAGGCGATTGCACTCCCGGTGGCGGTCGTGATCATAGAGTCTCCGCCGTGGCTCTCGATGCACACGTACTCCTCGTGCGACCTTCTGAACGAGCGTGGAGACGCCATCCAAGGCATTCTGGTCGAACCACTCCTGGGGCCCCGAGTGCACCACAGCGTTCATGGCCACCTCGCGGAGAGCCGGCAAGCCACTCGTAGGGGCAGCCTGCAGACGCGATCTCTTAATGCAACTCGGCACGTCATCTACCAGGAACTTCCGCTTCCGCTCGAGCTCGAAATCGTCTCTGGGAGTCGGCGGCACCGAAGGGCCGCCCGAGCCCGTTGCTCCCGGAGAAGCTTCCGGGTACGTCCCAGAGGACATCCGGCCTGGAGGGGAACGAGACTGGGCCCTCCTCGGAGGCGGAAGCTGCGGCAACTGCTCCTGCTCAGGTGGCTCCTCCTCCTTAGCCTGCGCCTCAATGGCGTCCAGGGCCATCAGATCCACACGGGGCTGCCTGGGCCCCTCGAGTTCACTATGTCGGTCACGCTCCTTCTTCAGGAATGTCTTCTTCACCTTCTGAACCTTCACCTTGGGCGTGACGTCCACGATGTCGTGGTAG